ATAAATTTAAAATATGATAAAGCTATATATTGTTGTGTTAATGTACTAGATTAAGTTTTATCGTTTAAGTGTTATCCTTAAGTGTAAATTTTTAAGTAATTTATTTTGTATTTTTTTAGTAATATTAACCCCTGTTTTTATACTCTACACCACAAGGTGAACATGGTATTATGTCTTTGTAACAGGCACAAGGAAACGAGATAGACCCATGTCCTACAGGTCGCTTTTATTGCTCGATCTAGATGAAATTTTACACAAATCATTTGTTTGGCTATTGAAATTGAAAATAATCGGTCAAAATTGTATAACTAGTTATAGCTCCCATATGTATCTTCGTTCTATTGACATTTTATTGTGCAACACACTTGTAATATCGGCCCAAATAGTATGGAATTTTGCACATACTACCAAATTAGGCCTGAAAATAAGTATGTCAAATTTTATGGAAATCGGTTCAAATATAGCTATAGCTAAGATCAACAGTGTTAAAGTGATGATGATGAATTCCAAGAGGACTCACAAGATGAGAATAGTGCAGCAACAATTTTAGATCAAGGTGAACGCATGCATTCTATGTCAAATGCAGGGGGAAATGAGAGTAAGGTTCCGAAACCCCCATTCCTATAATATAAAATAAAAAATTAGAATAGAACCACCCGAATTGGTTGCAAATGAATCAATAGATTTTAAAAAAGCTTCGAAAGATCACTGGCTGATAATAACGATGATGATTGCTTAAGATAATAAATAAATAAATGACTTGATTATACACTTTGCAATACAATTTATATCTTAAATTAAAACAAGTAAAAAAGCAGTAAGTTCGGCCGGGCCGAACTTTGAATACACTCCACCATTTGAAACGAATTAGAAATTTAAAAAAAAAAATAAAATCCATTAAAAATTCAGTAAAAATCTTTAAAATACCTAATATCGGAAGGTATGGTGGATATACGATATTGTGGACCTATATAGACAAATCTATGTCTGGAGGTAAAGTACTCACAAAGAACTCCTTTTGTAGATTTTCAGACAATTCCGTTGAAAAATGTGGCTAAAATCGACAAAATACCTAATATCGAAGAGTTACCGTTATATTGGGGCTATACGATATCGTGGGCTTATATAGATAATTATCTTACAGGGGATAAAGTACTCACAAGAAACTCTTTGTGTGGAATTTCAGACAATATCATTGGAAAATGTGGCTAAAATCATCAAAATCCCAAATATCGGTGGGTACCGCTATATGCAGGATATACGATATCGTTAACCTATAAAGAACTCTCTCTGTCAGGGGTTAAAGTTGTCACAAAGAACTCCTTGTGTAGAATTTCAGGCAATTCCGTTGAAAAATGTGGCTAAAATCATCAAAATACAGAATATCGGGGGGTACCACTCTTGGGGGCTATACGAAATCGTGAACCTATATAGATAATTCTCTTTCAGGGGATAAAGTACCCAAAACAAACTCCTTGTGTGGAATTCAGACAATTCCGTTGAAAAATGTGGCTAAAATCATCAAAATGCCGAATATCGGGGGGTACCGTGTTATGGGAAAATATACGATATCGTGGACCTATATGGACTATTCTCTTTCAGGGGATAAAGCACTCAGAAGGGACTCCTTGTGTGGAATTTCAGACAATTTCATTAAAAAATGTGGCTAAAATCATCAAAATACCGCATATCGGGGGGTACCGTTATATGGGGGCTATACGATATTGTGGACCTATATAGACAGAACTCCTCTTGTAGATTTTCAGACAATTCCGTTGAAAAATGTGGCTAAAATCGACAAAATACCTAATATCGAAGAGTTACCGTTATATTGGGGCTATACGATATCGTGGGCTTATATAGATAATTATCTTACAGGGGATAAAATACTCACAAGGAACTCTTTCTGTGGAATTTCAGACAATACCATTGGAAAATGTGGCTAAAATCATCAAAATACCGAATATCGGGGGATATACGATATCGTTAACCTATAAAGAGACTTCTCAGTCAGGGGTTAAAGTGGTCACAAAGAACTCCTTGTGTAGAATTTCAGGCAGTTCCGTTGAAAAATGTGGCTAAAATCATCAAAATGTCGAATATCGGGGGGTACCGTTATATGGGGGCTATACGATGTCGTGGACCGATATAACCCATCCTCGAACTTGACCTGCCTGCAGACAAAAGACAGATCTGTGCAAAATTTTAGCTCCCTATCTTAATTCGTTTTGATTGTAGCGTGATTACAACAGACGGACAGACGGACGGACAGGGCTAAATCGTCTTAGAATTTTACACTGATCAAGAATATATATACTTTGTTGGGTCTAAAATGATTATTTCGATGAGTTACAAACGGAATGACGAACTTAATATACCCTTCATACTAAGTATGGTGGAGGGTATAGAAAGTGGTTAAAAAATTAAGATGGTGGCTGAGTATTGTAACAGTTGAGGCCATTGGCCGGAAAGAAACGGACAGACAATATTGTCTATTTTCGCAGATTTGAATTTTATCGAGTAATCTATTCACTAAAGATCCGTGGCCGGATGTCCGTGAGGCGAGTACAGGAAGGAAATGTCCAGACAATATTGTCTATTTTTGCAGATTGGAATTTTATCGGATAATCCATTCACTTATTTATTTATTTTCCATTTTTTGCAACTCATTTGGGGTAGGTAACAGAAGAAGTTGAAATATATTGACTTCAGGCCCGATGAAAGTACCAAATCAGATATTCCCTTCCAAAGTGTTCATCGATTAATTGCCTCAGCATTTGCAATGGGTCCAGATATTTAGGTATTTAAAATTAATGCATTTGAAGTCATGGGGATTGTAAATGTTCAGTATTTGTTTCAAACTTTAATTAAAAATATTTTTTTTATTTTTTGTCCATGTTTTTTTTTTTTTTTATTTGAAACTAATTGTCAAATTGACTTTTTAGTTTCTATAACAACAATTGTGTTCTTGTAAAATGCCAGTTGTCCTAGCTGATGCATACACCCTATAAATACACCTTGATATTGGAATTTTGAAATAAATAAATTTGTGTATTTATAGGTCATGTTCTTCTTCTCTTTACTAAATCCTTATTTCTAGTTTTTATTTTGTTTTGATTTTGTATTGTAAGTAATGACTCCATAGTAATTTCTAAATAGGCTGATCTTATTTTTCAGCCATACGCTTTAATTTGAGTAGTAAAAACCTGTTTGATGTAGAACATCTTTAATTTGGTATTGTAAAGAGCCTACCAACATTTTCTATTCAAATAAGCTGTAGTTTTGAATTTGTATTTCCAAAGTTTAAAATAACGTGCTGCGAGGTATTCAGTTTTGTTCACCTCATAATTGAGGGCAGAATGATTTCAGAATAGTCAAAGATAATAACTCTTTTGCACCCATTACCGTAAGATGGATATTAATTTTTGGTCATTTCAATTGTGCGTTGGAGTCCATATTTTTCCATATTTTTGTTTGTTTAAGTGTGTTCGCATCTTTCAGCTAAAGCACAATGTAGGTCCTGGAATTGAATGCTAGATGCCAATGTTAGACATGGATGATCATCATATAACATCGTATTGCGCACTATTTTCATTTTTAGTATTATTCATCCAGAATTCAAAATGATAAAAATATGCACTACAATCTAGTATGTCAAATTGAAAAAAATTCACGCCAAAAAGATTTTTTTCATTTGCACTTCATTGGCATATTTTCACGCGTTCTTTTGCCATGATACCATTCCGAATTGTGTGCAATTGTATGCCTCTAGCGTAAATACAATTTAATATGGACAGACGAATGCACGAGATAGGAAAATTAATATATATAGTTTCCTATGTCTAGGACCAATATTTCGAGGTGTTACATAATTTTTGGCCCAATCAAACAACACATAGTGTTGCAAAATTAAATGTTTTGTTTGGTAGAAAATAATTTGTATATGAAGTTTTTCGTAGTTTTGCTTTTACCTTCTGAAAATTCTACTATGATTCACCTTAAAAATGCCTTTCATATTTAAATTATGTTATGTTGGATGTAAATAAGAATTTATCCTAATTTGATATTGTTTGCCACAAATAAAGTTTTTGCCGTCAGCGGCAAAAAAGTATTTAATATTCCAAATGTAAACATGAGTATAACTGTAGTGCATGTTGATGAACTGTTTGTTCAATTTCAAATGTGTAAAATCTGAGGGCTAGAATACTGAAATAAAGCTAACAAAAAGTGTAAAGTTCATAAGATGTGTTTATTTCGATGGTTTTTCAGCCGATAAAAGATTTCCTCTACGAAGAGTGCATTTTCAAAATTTTAGGTGGACCTAGAAAAAGTTACATTTGGAACATGTTTCAATAGAAAAAACCCTTTCAAGATTGCATTTGCATTTCATATTGCATTTTATAATGCCGGTTTAAAACATCTCATTTCCCTTATTAACTCATTAAAAACATACTATGTGTTTTACAGAAAAGACGAATGGTTTCAAAGTCAGGTAACAAAAGTGCATGAATTATTCTTAATTGTGTTTTTACTGAAAACAAAAATGAATTTTTCGAAATCGCAAAAATTAAATATCATGCATTCTACTAAAAATAGTCATGCAAACTAGTAAATTTGAATACCATCAAACATCAAGACCTTTACAACTCTTTCATAAGTAACTTTTTAAACATTGAAAATAAAGAATGTCACCACAAGTGTTTGTTTGGCACATTTGTTGTTGTTTTAGTTGATGTTTTTTTTTTTGCATCGTAACCCCGACCACCTCTTAAATATACGTTTCTCCTACGAATCTAAAGTCGATGACATTCCCATGCGGATGCTGACATGTGAATCCATCTTTCGTTGAATGTATTGGAATTACACGTCTAACTTCAAATGCTGTGCAATTTGGTGATGCTTTTGTAATTAAGCGATGCGCAAAAGTTTGTTTCTAAGCTTGATTTCCCCTTCAACAAAAAACAGCGATTTATTTGCCATATAAAAGTGGAGTCATTGACAAAGATGCTGTCAGTCAGCGTTTGCCTAGAACAACGTAAAGTCGGAGAGCCTGAAATTTATTTAAAACCTAAGCGACTATTGTTTTTCTTTTAAATTGCGAAGCTCATAAGGTAGACATGAAAGCTGTGTTAGTACTCGCGTTCAGCATTATTTTAACTACGGTTCTAGGTACTCCCCAACAAGATGTACAAATTGTGGAATTAGAAAATGATAATGACGGCACCGGGAACTACAAATTTAGGTGAGGTGTTATGTGTTCATGTCATTTGTTGTAAGAAAGTAGTATTACATAAAACAAAAATTCCAAGTGATATTACTAAGATCAATGGAAAATTTTATAAAAATGTGAAAATCGTGTGATGTTTTAATAAATAGTCATATTTTCGAAAAAAAAAAGAAACAAATAAAAAAACATTAAGTCCGTATTTTTAATACCCTACAAATAACTACAAATACCCGTTTGTATAAAGCAGTTAAATTTTTCAAAAACCATAAGTGGGTGAAGCGGAATATTATCTATTGCGAGCCTTAAATACCAAATTTGAAACAATTTCGTGAAAAATGTGATTAAAATTATCAATATATCGAATATAGAGAGGTACCGTTATATGGGAGTTTTACGAAAACGTGGATCTATATGTACAATGTTCCGTAATCGGAGCTGGAACCCATTACAAACTACAAATACAATTTTTAGACAAGTCCGTGAAAAAATGTGCGAAATTCATGGTGGCTATAACAAAACGTAAACCGATATATCTCATTTTCAATAACAATATACAATACAAATTGGTGTGCCAAATTTTAAATCTCTACGTTAAATAATGTGGTTTCTATTGAGATTTCAACAGATAGATAGACGTGTAGACAGACATTGCTAAATCGTCTTAGAATTTTATGCTGATCATGAATATATACTCTTTGGGGTACGTCGTATATTTAGGGATGTTACAAACGGAATGACAAAGTTAATATACTCTCCTTTTCAAGTTGGAGAGTATACAAAAGGCGATGTGCAGAAATTTTGAGTTTTTATTTTAAGCCATTTTTGTACCCACTACCAACACCTCGAAATATTTGTTGCACACAACACAAAATAAAAATATATACATAAATCGAACATCATAATTCTGCATCGATTTAACGATATTCATTTCTCTATTGAAATCAAGTTGGTTTATTTCTAGGATGTTTGGTATTAAAAAGTCAAATATAACCAGTAAAAAAAGTCTTAAAGTCGGGCCCTACACCGCTTTTCATAATTAGAAGAGCTCCACATTACAAATAAAAGTTTTTATGGGGACTTTGTGAGAAATAAATCATACCAACTATGATTACAGTTGTAATTTAAAGTCCAAAGGAACTAATATATGAGAGAAATATCCTCCTCTGAATCGAATTCTACTAAATTTTGCCGAGGCATTTGTGCCTTTTCAATTTGGGCTTGTATTACCCATTTGGTGCACCATTAACTTGAAATCGAATAAATATGGGAGTTATATCCAAATCTGAACTGATCTCGATAAAATTTGCCAAAGGTATTTCTGAGATGTATTTGATATTTTTCCCCGAATGTCGTTGTTACGGAGTGTATATTATCTGATGAAACAGTATTAATGTGAGCAATAAATATGGGAGCTATAGCTATATCTGAACCGATTTTCACCAAATTTGTGCCAAATTTCATTCCATTTAGGTTAATATTATACGTTTGGTGCACAATAAAAGATAAACCCGACGAAGATATATATGGGTGCTATATTCAAATCTGAACCGATCTCGATAAAATTTAGCAAAGGTATTTCTGAGCTGTATTTAGTATATTTCCCCAAATATCGTTTTACAGAGTGCTTATTACGACTGCGGAGGACAAATATTACAAATCAGATGAATAATATATGTGGGACCGATTTTGATCATAGCATCATCATGGCACACTTATTTTCAGGTCTAATTTGATCGTAGGTGCAAAATTCCATACGAAGACATATATAGGAGCTATATCTAAATTTTGACCGATTATCTCGAATTTCAATTGGGTCGAATAAATGATTTGTACAAAACTTTATCTGGATGGGGTAATAAATGCGACCTGTACTTTGTTTAAAAAATGCATGGACCAGCCGACGGACGGACATGCATAAATCGACTCAGGAACTATAGGTCTATCTCGTTACCTTTTGCCTGTTGCAAACAAATACACAAAGACATAATACCCTGATAGAAGTACATCCAATTTCTACGTTCCCAACTAATATTCTCTTGAGGGTTATAACTTCAATAGAATACAAAATATTTTTTGGAATTTTCCAATCCCCCACAATATACACCTAGAGTAGCTCCTGAGTAGCCTAAATACAGATTTTTAGCCAAATCGATTGAAGCATGTGGTCAACATACACCGGAGGTACCTTTCCATGGGCGTTACTCCGGAACATTGACCTACATTGAAAATATTATGCTAAGAGGTCTTTTACAAGATATCAAATAGCGACACAAAAAACAATAAATAAATAAAAAAAATGTGGCTAAGACATCGAAAATAGTTGGTACATGAGGATTATACCAAAACGTGAGCATATATTGATACGTTTTTTAAAGAATGGTTTCTTCTTACTTAAAACTCAAATTACTAACATTTTAGTTTTCATTGCAAGGATTATTGGCATATGAAAAAAGTAGGTCAACCTTTAAATATGAGCCCCATACAGCTGTGTCGGCCAGCTTTGTCTGTTTGATTGATCCAGCTGAACCACGAGTAGGTCCTGGGGTTGGTAAGTTAGATGTTAATTTTAGTAAAGATCACCATTTAATTGTGTTGTGCATTAAATTTCATTTTCTTCATTTTGCATTCAGATATAAAAAAACAAGTTAAAAAGCACTAAGTTCGGCCGGGCCGAACTTTGAATACCCTCCACCATTTGGAACGAATTTGGAAATTTTCAAAAAATAAAATCCTTAAAAAATTCTGTTAAAACTTTAAAAATACCGAATATAGCCGTTATATAGGGGTTTATACGACGTGGACCTACATAGGCATTGTTGGTCATAAGCCATTACCATATTCAAACTCGAAACTTGAAATAAACGGTGAATAATGTAGCTAAAATCATCAAAATATCGTATATAGGGAGGAACCGTTATATCGGAGCTGTGCTAAGACATGGACCAGCATAGACAATTTTCTTTCAAAGGCTATGGCATCCTTAAACAATTTCGATGGGTATTGTACCTAAACTCGTCAAAATACCGAATATAAGGAATGACAAAGTTAATATACCCTCCATAGTATGATGGAGGGTATAAAAATGTTAGTTAGCTTCATTATAAATGCGAAATCGTTAGATTAATACACTTCAATAAAAAACTAATTTTAGTTGCCGGAAAGTTTTTTTTTTTTTTAAGGGAAGAAAACGTCAAAGAAATTAAAAACAAGTAGAATTAGATTATTTCTAAATAGATGTCATACTTTGTTAGTGTATTCCTTCCTTTTACAGCAACTCAATACATTTTACATTAGAAAAATAACAAATTATTTACACATCATTGTAATACGCATTATTTTAATTGCAGGAGGTAGCGTCATTTTTAAATCGGTAATGGCGAAATTTTATTAAATTTGTAACTCATAGCGTTACTTAAAATTCGACGTATGAGGTCGACGGTTTTCACCACACAGTAAAACACATGTATTTATATGAATGTTATTCAAATACGTAGGACCCACCAAATTACACAGTTGAATATTTTCAACATTAATATTTAAACAATTTTCTTGTGTTGAAAATATAAATGAATGATACCATGGCATAATTACAAAAGGTAGAACAAAACTACCTCTTAAATACAAATTTTTTGTTTGGTGTTCCTATTCTGTTTTTACAATTGTGCATATTGTTTTGAATAAAATAGAAAATCATTTGAAATTATTTCAAATTTAGATGCAACGAAAATGCATATTTTTTTACGTTAACGGGCAACAAAATGTATAATTTTGGTTAAAACAATATTGTCCCTCTATCTTGAAATCAATTTTGTGGAAAAAACCCAACATTTCATTTATGTATTTCGTTTCATTTATATATTTTGAAGAAAAAATGTAAAATGAACAAAACCAATTTAAAAGTCCATTTGACACTCTGTAGTACATAGTTGCATTTTTATTAGTTTCTCTGATGTTAAACAACATTTCTTATTAATCCATGAATGATACAAAAAATGTGAATGTTTGTAATTGGAAAATATTGGAATTGGATGCATATAAACAAGTAAAAAAGCGCCTAACTTTGGCCGAGCCGATTTTTAATACCCTCCACCATTTGGGAGGAACTTGAAAAGTTTTAAAAAATATGGATTAAATGAAAACCGTTATATGGGAGCTATACGAAGACAAGGAACTGCATTAAAACAATTCCGGTAAATAATGTCGCTTATATAATTAAAATACAGAGTAAAGGGAGGCACCGTTATATGTGGGCTATACAAAGTCGAGGACCTGCATAAACAATTTTCTTTCATAGGTTGTAGTGCCCATTACGAACTTCAAATACGGAATTGAAAACAAGTCCTGTAAATAATGTCGTTAAATCATAAAAATGCCGAATATTGGGAGGTGCCGTTATATGAGGGCTATACGAAAACGTGGACCGACATGGCCCATTTACGAACTTAAAATACACATGCGTGCAAAATATTAGTCTTCTATCTCAATTCGTTCAAAAGATAACGTGATTACAACAGACATATAATCTGATATAAATATTAAAACGTGCCATATTTGTTCGAATACTTCCTTCACTTTATATGTGATATTTTTTGGAAAATGCTGAAAATGTGAGAGGTAAAAATGTAGTTGACCGAAGTATTAAAATTGTTAACTCTCCACCATTCTATGGAGAATATACTAACTTTGTCATTCCGTTTGCAACTCCTCGAAATACTCATAGTAGTAGTAGTATCACGTTATTATTTCATTTGGGTACATATATCATATTTAAAATTTCAATAATTAATAAACATGACTAAATAAAGGATTTACGACTTTGACAACATGTCGTCAGTCGGTGATTAATTCAGATAGACGAGTATTTGTTAAGAAGAATTTACATACATTAATGAAATTCAGTAATGATTAGTTTCCGACATCGCAGTGCCACTTTCAGATAATCAATTAGTCTCTTCCAATCAGTCGAGCCATCTCCATTCAATATTGATAAAATCTCATCTTCATGAAGTAAATGT